CCCAGTTTTGTCTGTAGAGATTCTGCAAGGATTCTTAAATGAGACTGTTCCATCTTTGCGAAAGGTTTAATAACTTTAATAAATTGGATTTCACCTTTCATAGCATGTGTTATGATCCTGTGGAGATTAACAAATTCAAACAACCAAATTTGCCAGATGACTCCAATGAAAAGCATAATGGACAAGATTTCATTTCCTCTTATGATTTTTGCTTAACAAACTTGTCAAATCAACATAAATGAATCATGAGTTAACAGGCAAATCACAGTCAGTATAAATTATAAACTCTGCATCAAGAAAGAGATGCAACAAAGATGGACTTCATACCTTTATCAGGCAGTCCATTCAGCACATAGAACACCAATTTCAGCCATAAATACCTTCAAGACTCTGACATTCCTTGTGGCCAATAATCAAATCATTTTCTTCATTGTTTTAGCCAAGGATTCTCATCCAGTAGCAGCTCCCCTCAACCTGGGTTCTACAGGTTCAATCTTCAACTGCCAGTTCAGTAGAATCTTGTTGGAGTATAGTCTTAGTGCACTGGATCTATCAACATTACCTGTATCTGGATCATCAGCTTTGAGCCGACACACTGCATTGGTGATTCTGGTCAAACAGACACTTTAATATAACTGAAACGGTGGCAGCAGTCTTGTTTTGCTTAAACCAGATTTAGTCTGTGTGTTCTTTTTCAAATGCGCCATGACTTACTCCTTCATAAAACATGGTCACATGGAATATTTTCTGTGCCATATTCCCTGATCACAGGATTGTGTTTCTATGCAGTGTCGTGTTTTCAAAGATGCAGGTGGCCACCCGCAGGACTTTGACAACTGAACCCAGAAAGTGTAAGTTAGTCTTGAAGTCATGGGTGATTCCCTAAATGAGGCACAGTTACATTGCAATAAATTGCCTGTCTAAATTCCCAGTCAAAAAAATTTTCAAAATAATTCTGGATAACTTGTGGCATGAAAATAGAGCGCATTTCTTCAGAGTAGAAAAGCAATGGTTTTGTTTTATCTAGTCTAAAATTATAAGCATTAAAAACATTGCCACCAATTTATTGTGTGAACAATGTGAAACTTTACAGCATGACTATGACTATATACAATTTTATCAGAAATCATACAAACCCCAACCTTAACCTTCTTTACGTATTTGAGAGGAGTTATTTTAGAGTGTCATGCTGGAGTTTTGATGTGTCTGACACTCTCCTTCAAGGATTGAGGAGGAATGCAAGACTCTTTGTACAGCACTTTCCAAACTCATGAAGTGAGATTCTTAACCATGTAGTGTGTGAGTGATTTTGTTTGTATTCAGTCTTTTAATCATATGATTCCAATTCTGAGATTCCATCACCTTCATACATAGTCGTAATGCCTCATCTTGTTTTATTGCTGTTTTGATATCAGCTAATTTCAACAACTTTGGCACCATAGTGGTGCTTACGTCCTTAGAATGTTGTTTGCCAACTTTTTCTTTGTAACTAGCAGAACTGACTTTTTTCAATGGATGTCAAGAAAGATAGTCCATTGGGTTGAGCTTGGCTAATGTTCAAGGTAGAACTTGTACTTTTGTAGTTTAAGAATCCAGTGCTCTAACAGTAGGAGGTTTGCTCTGTGGATTGCTGGACGAACTAGTGTTCTATGATTTATTCTGACTTCAGATTCACATCCATACAAGTAGAGATGAAAATGCAAGATCCCCCACGTGAATGAGAGGACTTCTGTCTCGCTCTCTGCATGAATAAAGTTGCTCTGTAGATGTTAGCGATCGCTTTGCGGATAGCTTTGTTAGGTGATCACATCAATCCAGATTCTAATTTGAATTTCGCTCTTGGATTTCTTGATGACTTCTTGAGTGACACTCAGTAGTAAGCTTGTCCCTAATTTTTTTTCAGTACTCTCAAGGCTGACGTCCCTTCTAACATGAAATAGTATTTGCCATTGTTGATACACGTTGTTGGGGCACATTGGGATCTACATGCAACTTGTAATTTACGGATACCAGTGAAACAGTCAGCATGCAACTCAAGAATGTTGCTATTATGTATAAGGAACAGCATATGTGATGAGGACCATACAGAACCATTGCTGTGTGAAAACTGATGAACATGCCAAATGCTCCAGCTATGTCATAAAATACAATCATCGTTTTGGTATCTTTGAATGAGATTGGCATTTCTAAAATCCAGAGAAGTTTTGGTGGCTTGTTACTGTTTCAAGTGAAAATGTTTCCCTTCTCGGGTTTGCTGAGAATGGGACAGCCCTGACGTTTCTTGAAGGTTTCGGCTTGTGTGATGTAAATGCTGTCAGATACAGGTGCCAATTGTCACTGTCTCACACAAGACCGTTTTCTGTATTGGAAAGCGAGCAACAAAATATACTCTGGTCATCTGTCTGTATCCCGGCTGCATTCTTCCGCCCTTTGCTGTGGTACTAATACCTGGGGTGCACTCTGCTTTAATGGTAGTCTCAATAGTTGATTTGTTTTTGTTTTCCAATTGTTGACAGGCATGCACTGCCTAGTGTGTAAGCACAGCTGCAGTGGAAGTATCATTTGGACGCAGTTCAGCTCCACCGGTGAGACTGCTGTTGCTTTGGTTCCATGGCACATCAGCTTTGAACAGTGTTTAGAGGAGTAGAACTTGGAAAGCAGTTTCTGGTAGTCTCATTTTCACTAGCTCTGGTTCCAGAGAATCACAGTGACCTTTCTATATTTCTACTGTGCATTAGAGTATAGTTAGGTTGAGAGCCACCTTTTGATGATGTGTTTTCTTTTCCCTTTTTACCAATTCATCTTCACCAAAGTTGCATTTGGCTGCTAGCATCCTCAAGAGTGTATAGTATTGGTTATTTGGCTCATTGCTTCATGCAAATGAAAATGATTATTTCAGATTTTTCCCCTTGGATTAAAATGAGACATTAGTGCCTTTGTATCTGACTCATAATCATTTTGCACATGCGTAGAGGCAAAGGGTTTTTATAGAAAGGTGTCATGTGTCAGTGCAGTCTTGGTGGGCAGAAAGGCCTGTTCCTGTACTGTACTGTTCTTTGTATGGGTTTTGAAAGCATCTTCTAATTTTTCACTATCAAAGTGGAAAATAATGCATTATGTGATTTGTCCTATGAAATGGCACATGCTGTGGCTGCTGTAAACCATTTCAGCCATTCTTCTTAGCATGTGAACATAGGGGAGGCGCCAAACATACTACAAAATTAGACATAAACATTGCTATCAGGAGTTGATGAGACCTTTTATAACACTGTCCTGCTTGAGCATCTTGTGTGCCTTTAAATACAGCCTAAGTGTTTCTTTCATAAGAGATAACAAGGTGTAGAGCTGGATGAACACAGCAGGCCAAGCAGCATCTGAAGAAGGGTCTAGGCCGGAAACGTCAGCTTTCCTGCTTCTCTGATGCTGCTTGGCCTGCTGTGTTCATCCAGCTCTACACCTTGTTATCTCAGATTCTCCAGCATCTGCAGATCCTACTATCTCTAAGTGTTTCTTTCTGCAGCTTCAGCTCAGAATATTGTCTGTAACATAAAATAGGGTCTGCAAAAGGCAGGAAAAATGGTCCAGAAACTTTCATTTTGTAACGCATTCTCGTTACCAGTGTGAGATACTTGGGGCTTCTTCAAAAGGTTGCATGTAAATCAGTGTACAAAAATGGCTGCTTTTATTAACACAATCACTACCATGCCTTTTGTGGTGTTACTTCCAGCTCCACCTTCTGGTGTGGTTCTGTAAGGCAGCTTAAAGTGAGCACTATACATAAATTGTTAAATCAAAATATTACAACACTACATATAGAAAGCTCTGCCACCTAGAAGGACAAGGACAACAGAAGATGGGAAAACGTTCCACTCCAAGGCCACACCACCCTGACTTGAAACTAAATGCAATTCCATCACAGACAGAAGGTCAAGATCCTGGAACTCCCTCCCCAGATGCTATTCTAGGTCTACTTACACCACATGAAATGCTATAGTTGTTCACCAGAAAAAGTTAGTGATGGACAGCACTGTCAATGCAAGAACAAATAAAACAAAACACCAATATTCTACAGTACAATTCATAATTGTTTATTTGGGGAAGGAGATGGGAAATAGTGTAAATAAAGGTGCAGAGTGGAAAACATCCAGAAATGTTGTGCTTAAGAATGTCTTGTAATTATGTAGTGAACTGAAATATATATATTGTCAAAACATAGCACAGGTGGATCTAGAGGAGAAACAGATGATAAACAGTATGCTTACCGGATGACTCTATAGTAAATTCTTTGGGAGAACTAACTGTGATCATTATTTTCATATTCACTGGTAGTGGAAATGCTAGTCATTTTCTGACACATTGGGTGTGATTTGAGCTATGAGACTCTAATTACCCGCTAATGAAAGATGTGAAAAAAATTCAAATGCTGAAAACCAAAAAGAAAACAAAATGTTGGAAACACGTAACTGGTCTATCTGCAACTGTTAGGAAAATATAAGTATGAATATTTTGAATAAAGATCCTTTTGTGAAATCTGGTCTGATAAAGGGCGTTTGTTCAAAACATTAGCCTATATTTTCTCCACTGATGCTGATGGAAGTGCTGTCTATTTCTAGAATTTTCTATCCTCATTAAATAGAAAGGATTGGACCTGGTGGATAATTCATTTTGACAGTGATTACAGGTCCATAAGTAATGCATAATTCATTGTTGATTACTTTAATGAAAGTGCCTATGTTATTCTGAAAGGCTGTTGATGACTAGGCAGCAAAGATTTAAACCGTGTGTGCCAGCCCAGTCCTACAGAAACCAATTGAACTGGGTTTCATTTAGTGAAATGATTATTAACATGGGCAAGGATTTCAGAAGCCTCTGACCCAGGATAGTCAGATTTGATTAGAAGTGCCAAAGCTGCTGTTGTGATAGAAACATAACAAACCTTGTAATGGTAATATATTCTCTGTGCTTTCGTTTAATAATGGCTTGTTTTCTCTCATTTGCAGGAGACATCACACAAAAAGGCTATGAAAAGAAGCGATCCAAGCTGCTTGGAGCTTACCTGCCACAACCTCCAGGTACGTTCAGACACCTACAGAAAAAGCATAACCACTTATAGCATGAGAAAAATGTTACCTGAAGCAACTAATAAGTTGTCTAGCCATCAAAGAATTGATGTCCAAAGATTTCAATTTAAATCATAAGTGCATTTGTTGTAACTTCAAAAGTAGGTTTAGCGTTTCCCAAAATTTCTTGAGATTATGTTCTCTACATTAATCGTCTTCAACTATCAAATGAATTGAGGGTTTGAAATAATAGGGAATGTTGGATAATGAACAGCTAGGATGATATGCACTTTATTTACTACTTGAATGTTATTTTCTTATCCTTGAGGGTTTTGAGTTTTCAGCAGATATGTAAATCATGGGAAAGTCAAAGGATTGGACATTCCATTTTATGTGGTTAAATTTCTTCTAACAGTCTAATGCTTTTGTGGAGCAATAGTGTAGTTCTGTTTGAAGAACTTTAATTGGTATATTAAAAGAGTAGAAATTTGGGCTCTTCTTGTATCATATTTCTATGTTATCATCACCACTCCTCAGATAATGAAGCTGCATTGTGTGCCAACCTAAAACAAAAAACTTGGATAATACCCAGACTTGGACTGAGAAGTACTAAGTAATATTGTATCGCTTAAGTGGTGAGTAACAAGCTTCACCAGGTTGAGATAATTTATCATGACGTTCAACGTTGTAACGATCACCAAGTGATCCACTTCCAATTTGAGCAACGTCATTGAACACAAGATAATGGGACTTGTAATCATGGCAACAGAAGTAGCATGAGTCTTACACATGGTCTAAGCTGGACAAAGCAAGGAGTAGCTCTCCTTCTGCCCCCTTGAAGCTTATTGAGCACGTACAACATTCCACAAGTCGCATCCGAACAAGGAAATCGACACCATATTAGACAGGCAGGTTATTTTTTTGTTGGAGACAAAAAAACTGCAGATGCTGGAATCCAAGGTAGAGACACAGGAGGCTGGAAGTACACAGCAAGCCAGGCAGCATCTGGAGGAAAGGAGCAGTCATTGTTTCAGGTGTTATCCTTCTTCAGAACTGGAGGGTTATACCTGAAATGTTGACTGCTCCTTTCCTCCAGATGCGACCTAGCTTGCTGTGTTCTTCCAGCCTCCTGTTTGTCTACCTTTTTTCCTTTGTTGCTTTTACTGATGCACTCAGCATCCATCCCCTCTTGGATTGGGAGAGTGGAGGACCTGGAGACAGTCACCAAAACCTACAAGAGGAGAGAGAGAGAGGAAGATCCTTTGTTTCTGAAACAGTGTGAGAGAGAAGAGGGGGACGGGGTGGAGCAGGGAGGACAGCAACTTCATAAAGAGCAAAGACAGAGCAGTGTCAGCAGATTGGCGAACAGTGTGGGAGCAAGAATAGCAGGTTTGTAAACAGAAGAGCAAACCTGTAAGGAAGTTCAGCTGAAGAGTAAGTAATTCACTTAAAAATATTTAACATCCAATTTAATTAAATAGTATGAAGATGACTGGGCAAGTGATTTGATGCAACTGTAGTAAGTGGAAGCTGATGGACTTCAGTCCAATATATGGTGGCCATATCTCAACAGTGTTGGCTGTTTTATGAACTTTGCTTCAGAAATGAGCTGAATCCAAGCGGTGGATACTGCGATACACAGGGGGGGTGAGGGGCAAAGACACTGTTTCAGGAGGCAGTGACACCCCTAGGATTCAATACTTCAGAATTGGTCTGCAGTGAGGGTCACGAGTATCTGACAGTGGGTGAAGCAGGTGTAGGGATATTGAATTTGGCTTTGGGAGGAGCTTCAGCCCATGCTGAAGTCCAACAGGGAAAAGATTCTTGTCCTTGTTGTGGAGGAGGACACAGACTGTGGGGAGGATGAATGAACTGACTATAGCATTATGGCCAGAGCACCATTGAAGTGGGACAGGAAAGAGAAACATAGTAATAAGAGAAAGCATACTCAGGAAAATAGATAATGTTCCCTGCAACAAACACAGAGTCCTGAAGGCCGAGTTGCCTACCAACGATAAGAACATCTCTTCTAGGCTGGCGAGGAACTTGGAGTGGGGAAGGAAGGATCTAATTGTTCTGGTCTATATAGGATTCGGAAAGAGGTTCTGCTGAGGGTGTATGAGTAGCCTGGGGCTAAATTTAAAAAGCAGAACCATAAGGTAATAATCTCTAGATGCAAATTGATGTAGGATAAATAGGATCAGAGAGGCTATTTTGATTGATGTGGGAGAAATGGGTTCTGATTCATGGGGCATTGATAGCTAATACTGGGGTATTCTGGAAGAATATGTGCAATAAATTGTAATGTGGAATCAGTTTCTGTGGTAACATGGAATAACAAAAGAAATAAGTCACGAGTAGAAGTCATCTATAGACCCATCAAGGTTTGCCTCAATGTAGGACAAAGTGTGCATCAGGAAATAATTCACACTTGTAAGAAGGGCTCTATAGTTGCCATGGCTGATTTTAATTTGCATATTAACTGGACAATCAGATGGCCAAAGAGTAACATAAAAGATGTACTTGGTGAGTGAATTGAGGATTGTTTCTTAGAAGATTACATTGCAGAATCTACTTGGGGATAGGCTAGATTTAGTAATCTGTAATGAGGTGGTATTAATACATGATATTGTTGTTAAAAATCCTCTAGGAGTAGTGATCACAATATGGCAGAAGTCAAATTCGGCTTCAGGACATCTCTGCAGGAGTTCCTTAGGGTAGCATCCTGGGCCCAACCATCTTCAGCTGCTTCATCAATGACCTCCCCTCTATCATAAGGTCAGAAATGGGAATGTTCACCAATGATTGCACAATGTTCACCACCATTCGTGACTCCTCAGATACTGAAGTAGTCCATGTTCAAATGCAACATGATCTGGACATCACCTAGAGCTGACAAGTGGCAAGTTACATTTGAGTCTCAAGTGCCAAGCAACTGCAATAAAAGATCATCTAACCACTGTCTCTTGACATTCAATGGTGTTACCATCACTGAATCCCCCACTGTCAAACATCCTTGAAGTTACTATTGATCAGAAACTCAACTGCACTTGCCACATAAACTCAGTGGCTACAAGAGCAGGCCAGAAGCTAGACATACTGTAGCAAGTAACTCACCACCTGATTCCCCAAAGTCTGTTCACCATCGACAAGGCACAAGTCTGGAGTGTGATGGAATACTCCCCACTTGTTTGGATGAGTGCAGCCCCAACGACACTCCAGAAGCTTGACACCATCTGGGACAAAGCAGCCCACTTGATTGACACTACATCTACAAGCATCCACTCCCTCTTGATGTTCAAGATGGTGGCAGAGTGAGAAGCTCCAGCTGGAGCTCCTCTGTTTCACCCATTCTTTTCCTTTCTTTCTCTCTCTTTTTCAAACTTTCAACGTCTACTTACTGGAGGCTAATGGTGGAGACTGAAGGGAGCTGGCACAGGGGCAGCGAGTACTGGCAAAGCCCATGCCAGGTAGGTGTGGTGGCAGCAAGTCCAGGCAAGTATTAGAAGTGAAGCCCAAGGCAGGCAAGCACAGAAATAGTGAGTTACCGGAGGCGAGGCTCAGGCCAGGCCCGCACGCAGGCAGCAAGTCCAGGTGAGTCCAGGAGGCGAGTGGAGCAGAGACCAGTGCGGGGGCGGTGGTGAGTCCCTTGGGGACTGCAAGCGAGGTGTCCAGGATTGATGCCCAGCATCTCCTATACACTTGGCCTGGCGGTCTGAAAGCTGGCACGGACATGGTTAAAAGACTAAAGTGCGAGTACTTTTCTTTATCCTTTATTCTTATGCTGAACTTTTATTTATGATTCTCTCAAGTCTGTAACAAATACCAAAGTATCCTTCCCTAGGTACCCTGCACCTAAGATGGCACTGAGAGGTGACATTACAAACTTTTCACTGCACTCATTCGAGTGTATATGACAATAAAGGCTAATTCTAATTCTCTAACACCAACAGTTAGTAGCAGCCGTCTGCAGTGTCTACAAGATACACTGCAGGAATTCACCAAAGATTCTTAGACAGCACCTTCCAACCCCACACCACTTCCATCTAGAAGGATAAGGGCAGCAGATACCTGGGAACGCCACCATCTGCAAGGTCCCCTCCAAGCCACTCACCATCCTGACTTGGAAATGTACCTCCATTCCTTCACTTTCGCTGGGTTAAAGTCATGGCTGTCTCTCCCTGAAGGCATTCTGGGTTTACCTATACCAAATGGACTGCAGCGGTTCAAGAAGGCAGCTCACCACCACCACCACCTCAATGGCCACTAGGGATGGACAATAAATTCTGGCTAGTCAGCAATGCCCTTGCCCCATGAGTGGATTTTTAAAACAAAAAATCACCAAGATCGCTATAGCAGTTGTAAGAACCGCGATGGGATGAGTGTATTGATGATCAACCCCTTACTGCTCCATGAGCCACCAGAAATGTTTAAATGAGTAATTGAATCACCAAGATGGTTAATTTGCCTGGTTGTGACTGCTATGATCCCGACTCAAAACGTCAAATTTCCTGCTCCTCTGATGCTGCCTGGCCTGCTGTGTTCCTCCAGCTCCACACTGTGTTCCTCCAGCTCCACACTGTGTT